CAGAGGGGATAACCAGTCTCCAGCAGACACTGTGGAAGGAACTTGGGGATCAGCAGACATCTCTCTTCTGTGGGCTCTGCAGTGCACGCATGCCTTTGCAACAGCCCCGAGCTGAAAGGAGAGAATTCTCAATCACAATGTGAAGATGTAAATCCCCTCCCCAGAGGTTTCAGGGATGGAGTTTTTCAATGCCTTTCTGAAGATTGTTCCACTCTACCCAGTAGAAATTCTTCTCTGGGTTCCCAGATCTTTGCCAGGGGACTCCCTACATGATCATAGGCCAATCACCTTTCCCTTGTCAGCATTTGGCTACCCTTCCATCAAAACCAAGCATGCAGTATTTTCTCTGTCCATCGTGTTTACTTAAATGCTATGCTCTAGTGCAGAGGCTAGATGTTCACAGCACGAAGGACTCTGGGAGTACCAAACCACATCTCAGGAACTAACAATAAATAGCATTCCAGGGCAGCATACAGGCTGGAGTTGGGCCAGCAGTGCCCAACGCATTAACACATGCTTTGAGAGCCAATACATCACCTGCTTGTAAAGAACAGCACAAGAAGCGCAGGAAGCCTTGTACAGAAGCTTAGCTCGTGTCCCATCTTTAGGAAAATAGCTCAGATCCAGGCAGGAGGGGGATCTTGAGCATTTCCTATTTATTCTGCTGTCACTGCCAGGCATGTCACATTGTGTTCCCCATAGCTCACATGGATAGGATAGCTGGAGGGGTTTCTGAAGTACCACTGCAACTAGCAAATTGCCTAAAGGCTCTGTGGTACTCAGGCAGAACAGGGCATTCCTCAGACAGAAACACAGAGTATGTGTGCATCTGCACACAGCTGTACAAGGGGAATAACACACACTTCGATACACAGGCCAGGATGGAAAACGTAAGTGTGCAAAGCCACCTGTGCAAGTGTGCTCCAGGCACAGTACAGGTACCCAAAAAGTGTCTTGCTGTGCAGGAGTCCTTCTATGAGCCTGTGAACAACGTGCCTTGGAAAATGCCACTTGGTACAACATACCCACAGATGGAGAGGGCGAAGAACAGGAGGACTAAACTGGCTATATTTGTGGGACAAAGCCATTAGCACTGCAAGAGACTGGGGTCTGCTCCCTAGCACAGTGAATTGTTCTCAGTTATTTCCTCAATCTCTCAGTGCCTCAGTTCCCTGGAGGCGTGGAGTTCCCATTAAAAAATGTAGGAGGATATATTCAATAGTGACAAATATGCTGTATTACTTATAGCACGTGGGGGTGGTCCATGTGTCTAGATCAGGATATGAAGATTAATTATGAGCCACACCCTGTGATTCTCCACTCAGCAAAGCCCTTATTAGCTTCTGAAGTTGAATCCAGCCCTGATGTCAATTTACCAACACAAACAGTTGGGGCTTGCAGCAGAAAAAAGGAGAATCTATCCTCGCTCTTCAGACCTTGTGCCTGGCAAATATCACTTCTATTGCCACCAGAGAAGCAAAACACTGATAGGTAACCGATTCAGGATCTCCATAGGCAAAGGATAAAAGACAACATGTTATAGAGAACAAGGACCCATGAAAAAGACAGGGCCCTTCCAATGACATTGCGTCCAGAAGATGCTTTGCCTTTGGGTGGGTTGAAGCCACACCAAACGCGTCTCCAGTCATATCCCCAAACAAGACTTAAAGCTACAGCCCACCTAACTTTTCAAGGCTACTGCAGGCAGTGGAGGGCTGCAGAAAAAGTGAAGAGCAAGAAAGCCACAAAGGGCATCACCCACAGAGAAAGATGCTGACCAAGGCCTGCTGTGTCCCCAGAAGTCAGAGATCTTGCTAGTAAGCCCATATGAAAAGTGGCCTTGGAAGCCAGGCAGCATCTGGCACGGCTCATCCCTGCAAGACAAAATGTACAGTGACGCAAGAAAGGACCATACCTATGAATTAAAATCTGCCCACTGGGTTTTGTTTGAAGAAGAAAAAACTGCTTTTACACAACTTTTTTTTTTTGAGCTGGTAGAAATAGAACAAGGGCAAGAGAGAGCAAAGGCTTTGCAAAAGGCAAGTCTCCAAGAAACACTAAAAAATGAATTGCAACATTTGCCCTAGTGTCCCTTTAAAGACAGTTATTTTCATTTCCCAAGGCTTCTTCTGTTGCAACATGAGGGTGCTGGAAAAAGATTAAAAGGGCAGACGCATTGTTTTCCTTTCAGAAAGCATTATTTTGACATTGAGCAGCCAGCTCCGCACAAGGGGAGAGCGTGTGCTCACACTTTGTTACTGGAAGATTTCTTGGGCAGCTTAGGCCAGATCTCCCAGCTCCAGCAATTGTTTGCCAGAAAGACACAGCATTATGAGTGTGCTAAAAACCAACAAGCCCCTGCACACTGGAGGCACTCGCTGCTCTTCTTGCCTCAGAAAGTGCACAACTGCAGAGCAAAAACCAGAAAGACGCAGAAGAACACTGCAGGTCAAGGGAGAAAAGAGAGCAAATCCAGGCGTCGCTGTAGTCGGCTGGAGCTCTGTGAGACACTTCCCTGATGAGGACGAAACCACAGGAGAACAGAATCGCTGACCCCAGTGGCACTGCGTCATACAAGGTGACGGTCCCTTCCTAAGGTTGGAGCACTGTCTCCCCTTTGCATTCACTCTCCACTGTGAGCCACCTCAATGGGTCAGGAAACTTTGGGGTGCCAATTAACAAGTGGGAAAGCTCTCCCCCTCTCCTCCTTGCCAACACATGCATCTGGAGGGATATCGTTTTGTATGGATGATCTCTCACTTTGCTGTCCTAGAGAATCAAAATGATAGGAGATTTGGGTCCCGTCTTTTGCACCTTCCTCAGGTCAGCCTGGCTCAGAGGGAGCCAGCTCTCATTAAAGCTGTTATTGCGCTGCTCATGACTCCAAGTTCACAGTGCTCTGCTGGAGAAGCTGACAGTGTTTCACTAGGAATACCTCTATGGGGGGATGCAGGGAAGGATTTATAACTCAGCTGCACAGAATGGTAAAGTACTCAGAGTCAACATCAACAATGTAATTTTTCTTCCTCTGTCTTTCATCCACCCATACATAGTCAACCAGGTAAATAAAATGATTGGTCAGATACCTTCCCGTTCCAGTAGCATCCGTTGTCCTGCTGGCTTTGACCATTTTTAAGGTTCTTGGCCCCTATCACAGAATTAACCCTTCTGGGAGAAATATCCTTCTATTTTACTGTCTATTCAATCCCTTCACCAGAACATGTTCCGTATTTGTCAATGCTTTGAAGCTGACACAGGAAACAGAGTTGGGTGCTACATATAGAAAGAAGATATTTTACCCTCTTTTCCCAAGTGCCTCCACTTTCTCACACCTTTTCAATCCCAACTCTGTCAGGTAACCCAAGAAATCCCAATCATTGTAACCTTCTAGCCAAATCCTGGTCAATTCATTCACATTGGAGATCTGTGTACAGAGAAGGACTAATTACATGAACAAGGCAAGCAAGATGCATCTCAGGTGAGTTAGGAGAATTTCCTCATATAAGCAAGGATTACTCACGAAACAAAAGAATGGCTTGATGCTCCAACGTACATTTACACAATCCTTCCATATTTAAGTGCACGCACAAACACACCTAAACTCACTCATTTACACAAGTCAGTGATGCTTCACTGTAGATGTTCAGGGACATTAACAATGTAGACAAGTATACACAGACCTATGCAACAGACTGCATAGTTTCTTCCAGTCCATAACAAACACTGGACCATAAGCTCCTTAGATATGTATACAAGCTCTTACGTCAATTGACAGCACATTAGGGCTCATGACTTTCTGCACTGTATGCATATAAGCAAGGACTTCTGTGACAGGTCATTATCTAAGTAATCAAAGCAAATGCTTCTAACCCCATGCCAAGACCCACCAAGAAGCCCTGAAGGAAAAAGGAGGGGGGGGGATATCTGACCGACAGCACAGAACAAATGGATATTGCAGCAGCAGGATCCTGCCAAAGATATTGAGGGATGCCCAGTCAAGACCTGCACTTCCTGGGATTAAGTGGATACAGGCTCCACAGCTGTAAACATCAGGTTATCCTCAGTGCTTTCCCAAACATCTGGGCTAAGCCACCTCCCAGTACTATTTGAAGTTGTACTTTCTGGTCTGACTGAGAGAAATCAGGACTTTCAGGGTCACAGACCCAGGAATTGAGCCAGAGAGAGGCCCAGCAGGGAAAAGGAAAGCATCATTTGTGGACAGCTTCATTGATCACCATGGACCTTCTCCCCCTTAATCCCTGTTTTTCATCCCCACCCACTCCCACAATATAACACAAACACAGAAATCGCTCCTCAGATGGCAAAGCATCACTCAGCCATCTCCTATTCCTCCAAAAGAGAGCACTCAGAAAGCTTTTCCCTTTAAGCAGCCTCAAAGTTGGCTCTCACCACTGCTGGCACAAATGAAAGAGATTTCAGTTCCCCCTCCTCCTAAATCCCATGCCTTTCTGCTGTGAAGAAAAGGCAGAGGATGACCAAGGGAAGAGAAAAGCAACTCTCTCAGTCACCTCTCACCTCCCTCCTGTCTTTCTGCATGGATGCAGCGGTGGGCTGGAAGGGTGCGGGGCCATTGTAGTCCCCCCACAGCTTCCCCAAGAGCCACACGCAAGCCCACGAGGGGAGCCCCAGAGCAGGTGCAGGGCTGGGAGGGCAAGGCTGGGAGCACAGTGCTCCTGGAGGCAGACAGGGGCATATTTCCCCATAACCCAGCCAGCCTTCCCCAGGCAAAGCAGCTTGGCATCCTCAGGCACCCAGTCTGAGAAAGGGGGCAAAGTGGTCTCCAGCACTGCAGCCCCTGGGACCCATTCTGCATCCTTTAAATACACTGGAAGGGGTATAAAAATCGCTTTGAGTCTTTCCTGCTTCCTCCCACTCCCTGCCCACTGCATACACACATACACACACACCCAGCCCTGTGCATAAAGGATCTCTGTCCTGCTCAGCTCAGCCACGCAATGCCTGCAAGAGGCAAGAGTTACCTTATTCCCATAGCCTGAACCGCCTTCTCTCTCCATCGTGGCTGGGAAGCTGCTCCCATTCATGCTTTAATCCCTGGGAACAGAGGCACGATTCAAAGCGGCTGTTCACCCACTGGAGTAGGCTCCCCCCAGCAACCTCCTCGTCCTTTTCTCCTCCCTTTTTCCTCGTTTGTTGGGTCCGGATTTTTTTTTTTATTTTTATGTATTCTTTCTTAATCCAGGCAGCAACCAAGACACTCCTTCATCGCCTCTCTTTCTCCCCGTTTCACTCGCAAAGAAACAGCATTGGATAGCTCCTTCCTCTGCCGCTGCCTCTGTGGACCTCCGGTTCCCCAGGTCTGCCTTTCTGCAGCGTGGCGTTAAGGGAAAGAAAGAGAGTGAAAGAGGGAGGGAGGGAGCATGCAAACAGGGAGGAGGAGGAGGAGGAGGAGGCCAACGGGGTGCGGGAGGAAGGAGCCAGAGCGTGGCTGGCTGCTTTGTATCCAGAGCGGTGCCGACAGCCCCTTCCCTCCCCCCGACCAGAGGAGGACCAGCGCTGCTAATGGTCTGTACCAATTTATTCCACTTAGGCAGGGGCACTTTTCCCTGTGATGGGCGAAAAAGCCAGGGAAGGCTCTGAGATGGCCCCTTAAGGAATTGGTTCCTGCTCTCCTCACTCCACAGCATCACCCATCGAGTTTGCAGCCACAGGCTTGGGAAGACGCTCTCCCAGCTCGGCAGACAAATGGGAAGTGTGAGGCGAGGAAGGGCTGGGTATGAGGGAATGGTCTTGCTGGTGGTGAGGCTCAGCACCTCTCTGAGAGAAAGCAGTGACTAGTATGCTAGGTGGAAAGCAAGGTTGCCCTCCAGCCTCTTGGGAAGGCAGGCTGATCTCTGCTCCACTTTCTGCACGTGCACTTTAGCAGAAGCACCTTCCACTCCTCGTCGTGCATGCCTCCATGCCCAGACTGATCGCCCGCTGCCTGTGTCCACTTGGGCTTTGCAAGCACTGGGTAACACTCTTTAGATCTCATGCAACTCCCCTTCTATCTAGCACCATGTCCTTCCATGGCCCCACTCATTCACCTCTACCCAAACAGCAAGGTAGCCCCACGTCCACCCTGGCAGCTGACTAAGGGCCCCGGCACTGGGCTAAGGACAGCAGGAACATGCTTTGCCCATGGGAAGGAGGCTCTGGATGTGACTAGGGCTGTCCCTAATTCAGGCACAATTGCACCAAGCCCAGTGGGCAGACAGGACACTTCTGTGACCTCTAACAATGCAGCAGGACCCTAAGTATACTCCCTTCCTTCATAGGGACCACCTGGAGGACATAGGGCTTGAAGGGGCTGGGGACCAGAGTGAGGAGCTTATCTCCTGATACTGCCCTTTAACAGTTAACCCAGGCAGGGCTGACTCATGCTCAGCAGCACATTTCTCCGAGATGGCTGAACACCACAGTACATACGTCTCTGAATGCCACGCTCACAGCTGGACATTTTAACATAAACCCAAAGTCAGCCCTGAGGTTAGGGACAAGTTACCTGTCCTGCCACTGCTGCCTGCTCACCTGCTTCCCGCCAGATCACCCCTCTCCATATACCACCATCTCTTCCCAGCTACATGTTCCGTGGTGGACATGCACAGATTCACAGCTACAGCTATTCCCTTGTTATTCCCTCTCTTCCAGATCGGGTAAGGTTACAGTGCCATGGTAACTTGGAGGTATGGGGGAGATTTACTTATGCTTTACCAAAAAAGGAACAACAAAGAAAAAACCACAACCTTCCAGTTACTGTGAAAAGCTTCAGCACTCGGGGAGGTGCGGTTGAGCACTCTCAGTGATCTTCACCAGTGACTCCCACCATTTTCACCAGGCTTTTCATTTTGAATTCAGACCCCAGTTTTAACTTGTGGATCTCAAGCAGTACCTCGGAGCAGAGATATCTGCTACGTAGCTTGGAAGCCAAAATATTACCCACAAATTAGCAAGCGTCAAGACACACTGACAAATCCTAACTGCATCATCATAGGGGCAGGGACAGTGGCTCCCATATTCTTTCCCCCTGAAGTGAAGCAAGCTGGAGGACTCCATGTATGGTCCCAAGCCACTGCCTTGGGTGGAAGTGAGCTTTGCTGGTGCAAGGCCTGCACCAGACAAACCAGGGAGATGATGTCTCCAGGCCAGTGCTGAAGTACTGTCCCCAGGGGGCGATGCTTGAAGGAAGGCGCTTTACAACAGCCTCTCCCCTCACACTGCACCTACCCCAGGGACAAACAAAGATGAACAAGGACTGCCAATCCAGATCCTTCACGCAGAGCTAAAGAGACCGCACAGCTGGGCTAGCTTCTGCTCAGCCACCTCCTCTGCAAAACAAGGCAGTTCTTGCAATCAAAGAGAACACGGCCTTTTTTTGTCCTTGGTCTCATTTTCTGCAAGGTACCTAGGGAGAGATCAGCTCCAAAGACTACTTGCCTGGGAATTTTGTGCCAATTCAGCTAGTACTAAGGGTTTCACTGAACTCTATGTCTATTAAAAATGCATAATGTCCACTTATATCAAAAGGGCGGATTCAGACCCAGCGCTTTTCCAGCATGTCCCAGGCTACCTGCTGTTAGGGCATTCAGGAGATGGATAGGGAAGAACTGTCCCTTGAGGCCTATATTGAGAGGTAAGAAAGGGCACATTCATTGACTATTTCAGGGCTGGGTGAAAGAGGGGAAAACAAGGGAGAAGAGACATAAACCCCCTCCTGCCACAGAACCTAAACACATAAAGCCTCAGGTAGGAGGGAAAGGAGGTGTGCTGCACCTGAGATTTATAAAAATTATGGGTGAGCAGTAACATTTCAGGCTCAGCCCTGCATCAGTGTCTCTGAAGACTCACAAAGGTGAAAGGCATTGGTAAAAGTGTCAAAGCAGCTCAGAAGGGACACAGACACATACAGAATACAGGCATTGCTGCGTCCCTCCCCTGCCCCCCTGACTGAAAATTACAGCCTGACTCACTCAGAGCTCCTTTTTGTGAACAGAGCAGCAGAACAATGGTACAGAGATGCTGCTCTGACATTTTCCAAGGTTGTCCCTTTGAACCTTAGCATATCGACTTGTTTGCATGCTGGGTACGGAGTGTACCACATTCACCAGAGCCAAATTCCAGGAGAGGGCAAGCCTGCTAGCAAGAGGGGTATGGGAGGAGAGGCTCAGGCAATCCTCCTGGAGGATCTCGGGATAACGGGGGGGAAGGGTGTTGTTTGCCTGGAATCCAGAGTGCTTCACAGAGGATGCGAATCTGAAACACGCAGCATCACTGTTGACAGCCGTGTATATAAACAGAGCAGTATTTTCCCGCTCCCTCCCCCTTCTTATTATAGCACAAAATACCCCAAGTAAAATACATACACACAACAATCCACTATAAAAAGAAAACAAAGCCGCAAGTGTGGGCACACACACACACACACATAGATATTCTTCTGGAGGACATAGCATATATTCAATACCTTAAATGTCATTTTTTAAATATTAATGCTGTGCTTCCAGCTAGGTTTATGTAAGGTTTATTACTACAGGACTGGAGGCACAATAAAACCTAACTAGATGCTCACAGCCTGACACGCTCTGCCCGCCCCAGCCCTCCAGAGGCCCACACCTTGACCATGCTCCATCTCCCCCTTCTAGACTTCACAGCCACACAGCAGCAGAGCCAGGGCAGACACACTCCCACCAGGCTGTTTTCCCGGGAGGGGGCAGAGCTGCAGCTCCCTTTCCCCCTCTTCCCCGTGCTTGCGGCTCGCCATCTGGCACTGTCAGGAGGATCTCTGCTTGGAACCTCGCTGCAGCCAGGCACAAACATGAGCGGATGCCTCTCTCCGGCTAAACAATAACCTCATTAGCAGAGGCAGCGCAGGGCAAAGGGAAGAGGGCGAGGGCAAATATTCAGCAAACAGCAGGGTACATTTCAGTGGTGCATGCACAAGCACAGTGCTGAGCTGCCGGGAGGGAGCAGCATACAAGCTGGAGCAACCCAAGGGCTGATGCGGTCCACGTTTCCCTGCTACCCCAACCGCAGCTTCACTCCCTCCAGCAGCGCCGTCTTGATTTCAGGCGCAGGCAGCCCAAACACAGGAAATACCTCGCCTCAGGCCTTCTGGGAGTTTCCTTCGCCTGGAGGCTGGGCTCTAGATTATTACTACCTTGTGGTGCCAGACTGAAATACAACTATCTACAGAAACAGGACAAGGAAAGAGAAGGTTAGTTTTTGAAATGACATGCCTGCACTTTTCAGAACCAACCCATAGGAAGGGAGAACCTCTTTTGGTAGTCGCACTTACCTTGTCATGCAGATGAGAAGGACCCTAGGCTCTAGGAGGGGCCATGGAGAAAAAAAGCCTCAAAGTTTGTCCCCTTTGCCAAGCTTAGACAATTCCCCTTCTTCCCACAGGAGGGCTGAGCAGTAGCTGCTGGTAACCACAAATCAAACTAACCACTTGTGTTAAGTCTCCATGCAACAAAACCCCTCAACCCATTATGGTGCTCCCTTTAAGCACCACTGTCCATTCCATCCTCTAGAGCAGATCCTTGCTGCTACTTGGGTTGACATGGAAGGATCCTCCAGCAAGCACCCGCTATCCCAATTATTATTCTCTAAGGGCCAAAGAGGCCAACAGGTTTTCAAGCAGAGCATAAGCTTCTTATGGAGTGGAACAACATGTTCTGCTATTTGCACAGACCGTTTCCAGCACATGCTGCTATAGCCCTTGTTGCTGTGCTACAGAGAGCAATTACCAGCTTTCTAGTTTGTTGGGCTTCGGTGGGGGGGAAACTGGCGGATAATTCTGTGACAAATCTGCTTTGAAGCCAAGGTTTCTTTTTCTTCTGGTATAGGTACAGCAAGCAACAATAAAAGCTGTCATCTCCACGATCTCTTTATGTTTCACTCAAAAAGTCTATCTCACGGACTTCACCTACACAAACTATCGGAGATGCTTCCTCATCACCCAGCTCGACTTCTCCGACGAGCCTTCGAGTGAGCAGCAGACGGCACAGACTGATCACTCGGCACTTCCCAGCTGGGCCGTGCCCTCAGACAG